AGTTTTTGTATTTATAAAGTACATTCTTGATATAATTTTATAGCTTTTTTTTGAAGTAGCATCTATTTACTTTATCCACTTGTTGTTGCTTTAATTGCATAGTGACTGGGGCATCTCATGCTTACACTGGCTTATATCTTACAGTTGAATCCACTCAAATGGAGCTGTAATTAAAGCATGCTTTTTTAATCTGTTAGGGATTTTTTTCTGTATAAGCTTAAGAGATGCTATAAATTAGGCCTTACTTTGGCCTACTTTGTGTTCAAAATTCTGTTTTAGAGTTACTTTCTGTAAACTTTTTATGGGCTTCAGAAAAAAATTGTATTAACTGAAATTTGTTAATCCTTCCTATAGAATAGGCTTGGGTTTGCCGACTCTATCCACACATTGTTGCAGCCCAACTTGATCTGTCATTTAACTAGCACAAAATGTGGCCATCCTCAGCAAAGCAGTAGGTTGCCTGTCTGTTTTGATAGATCCCATGCACCTGACATGTGGAATTGAGGGCTTTTTTTCCTTCTAGGGTGAGATGAATCTCACAGATAATTTTAGGTTTTGTCTTCAAGGAGAATAATTATAAAATTAGATTTGTGGCACTCAATCTTGTATTGCTGTGGATGGTTACATGCTTGGGGTTAGGGAGTGTTCAGAAGGATTTGTGCATTTTTTAATGCATGAAGGTAAAGCAAAGTCTATTTTCTGTGTATCTTAACTGTCTTAACTCTCAATGGAATGAATACCTCTGCTACTTTAAAAATCAAAGACTGGATCAGCAAAAATTTTATACTGTTTCTTTTAGTTCAGCTTTTTATAGATTTCATGTGAAAAGTTTGTTTTTGCCAAAAAGACGACTTGCCTTCAAGTACACAGTCATAACATCTTGAAGTATTGTCCTTAGTCAAATGAATGACACCAGCCAAGGATGCTCCTATTGTTTTTACTGATCAAATGAATCCTGTGTTCTCTCGGAGCCTTTAATCTGAAAATAATGCATGATGGATCAGTAGAAGTGGGGAAGAAAATGCACTTTGATGGTTTCAGCTATGGACTGGATTATCCGGGACTCCTCTGGACACATGAAATCATGGGTTTCTTGCTGTGAGCAGTCAATACCAGCCCAGGCATTTGTGCTGTTAATGGGACTTAGTGGGGAATGGTTACTGTTGTCAACCCTTTTGAAGGATGAGACACTGCAAAAGCCCTTGTCCGCCATCACAGGAGTGGAATTAGGGCTAGTAGATGGTGTGATTCTCTAGGAACTGATGGGGTTCTTGCTTCAGTAATTGTTATAGGACTAGCCTTTGTGTTTCTTAGCACACAGTATTATTCTTAAAAGCCTAACTTCACAGCAGGGTTTGACACAATGTGTACCGTTCAGAGGCCACTAAGCCATATTGTCATCATTATACCTTTAGGGACCACTGATGCTGGTCAGAAAGAGTTGGCCTTCAGCTAGATGGGTTTACTTCATGCCAATCCTCCTTATTTCTTTATTGATACAGGATAACGGAATGGATGAAGTTTGAATGGGCCTCTGGAGGCCATTAAGTCCAACTCCTTTGCTCGAAGTACAGAATATTGGAACAAGTTGCTCAAGATCTCGTCCAACTGGGTTTTGAATATCTCTATAGTATGGAGACTCCTCAGCTAGTCTGCTCAACCTGTTGCAGTGTTAAATAACCCTTGCATGAAATTACATTTAAACCCTTCTTTAGAGCATTTCAGTTTGTGTGCATTGCTTCTTTTCCTGTCATAAGACATCAATGAGGAAACTGGCTCTGTCTTTCCTCCTGTCCCTCAAGTAATTGCATTCATAAAATCCATGTGAGACTTCTCCAGGCTTAACAGCCCCAGCTCTCTCAGCCCCTCCCCATGTAAGAGATGCTCCAGTTAATCCATCAGCTTTGTTGCCCTTTCCCAAACTCTCTCCAGTATGTCCATGTGTCTGTTGTGCTAGAGAGCCCAGCTCCAAATGTCATACCAGGGCTAAGGACAGGGAAGGATCACCTCCCTTGACCTGCTGGTGATCTGAGGGTTGTTGGCACTTGCGGCTGGCTCGTGTTCCCCTTTTTCATGAAGACTTTTTCTGCCGAGCTGTTGTCCAGCTGTCTGGTGCCTGGGGTGGTTTTCCCCAGGGACAGGACTTAGCATTGCCCTTTAAGCTTTCTGAGATTCATGTATTGGCTCATGTCTTCTGCCTGGTGATGTCCCTGTGAATGGCAGCTCCCTTCCTAGTTTTGTGTTATCTGGAAACATGCTGAGAGTAAGCTCTGTCCCATTGCCCACCTTCATCAGTGAAGATGTTAAACTGTCCTGGCCCAGGTGTTGACCTCTGGCTTACACCAGTAAGGCCAGGTGTCCAGCTGGGCTTTGTGCCACTGGTCAGAGCCCTTTGAGCCTGGCAACTGAGGCAATTTTCTGCACGCAGGGGCCTGGGATTCCTGCAGGCTGTTCTTGCTGGTAATGACAGAAGCAAAGGTGGCAGTGAGAGCCTTTGCCTTTTCCATATCTCCTGTCAGCAGGTCCTCTGCCCCACTCAGCTGTGGAGCCATAGCCTTTCTGTCAATTATGATATTTTTTTCAAAAGCCTGGGAACCATTCCTGGGTGTTTTTGATCTTCCTTCTAGCTGTGGTCCTTCTTGGGAAGGTGTGCTCCACTATCTCATGGACATTACAGCTGTGGCTGCTGTGCTCACATTGCTGCCCAATTTTTCCATATTTAGTTATGATGTTCAGCAGAGTGCCTGCCCTCATTGGCTCCTCAGTAACCTCTTTCAGGAAGCTGTAATCAGTGCACTCCAAAAACCTTCTGAGTTGTTCGCTCCCTGTTTTGTTGCCCTTCCAGGAAACAACAGGGTGCTTCATGTTCTATAGGAGGACCAGGTGCCTGTAAATGTGAGGCTGCTTCAGTTGTATGCAGAAAATCTTGTATATTTAATCTTGATCAGGTGATAGGTGGCAGCTGTCTGTCTTGTTGGTCTGCCCTCTCATCTGTGACCCATAAGCTCCCAACTGTTTCATATTCAGCCATGGCAGTAGTCTGGTTGTATGAGCTGTGTTGCTGTCTCGGTCATCTCATTGAAGTCATAGCCCTGCAACTACATGCAGACCACTAATGGCCGCTACTTAATCGCCATGGTGCATATGTGTTGGTGTATGGTCACTTAGGTATCAGAAATTCCCCTGCAGGACATGAGAGATGTCCTGCAGGCAGTGCTTTATCTGTGTGCTTACATTTGAGATGGGGCCCTGGTTAGCTCTTTTTTCGTTTGAGGTCTCTTGCCTACATCACTCTCTATCCTTTTTTTGCCAGTCCAGACTGTCACTTCTCACTTGGCTGTGAATTGTCATCTACCTTCCCCATGTTGCTGGTATTCTTCTCCTGTAGCTGCCCTGACCCCCTACGTGCCAGGAGAAGCCTTTCAGTGGAGGAGCTGCTGCATTGTGCCTCCTAGGTGTTTACAGCCAGTACTGCTTCTTTCTCCAGAAATTAATTCTAGCCCTGTGCAGCTTAATTCTTTAGTCCTTCTTCGTTCCCCTTTCATCCTCAGCAAGCACTGTTCTTGTATGCTTTGTGCAGGCTTGCATATCCTCCTGGGATTTTAAGAGGATGTTGGCCTACCTGGCTCCCCATGGCTTCACCTGCTCGGGTCATTGGTTTATTGATAGTGTGACTGAGGGGGGGTGGTGGTGGAAATTTCAGGCTGCTTACACTAGTGTCGTCTCTTAAAATGATCCAAGAAGCTGCCAGACAGCCTGTTCAATTTATTTCTTTTGCTGTGCATGTCCGAATAGGCATCTCCTCACAACCACGTCCTGTGCACTGAAAGATTTCGTTGCTTTAAGTAAAGCCTTACTTAAGAGTTTGGGTGGGGTTTTTTTCATGTTGGGTTTGGATTTTTTTACCCCTTGCTTTGGAGGGTTATAGTGGGCTCCCACTATTATCATGTCTGCTTCTTCTCCCTCTAAGATACTTAAAATTCTTTTGATATATTCCACTACAATCTGGATTTCAGAACAAATTATTTGTATTTGTTATAGAATGCAATTCTTCCTTTATCTTTTCATGGCTTGTCATTCATCAACAAGCCCGTGTGTGGGTATTGGTACTTCATAACTCATTTTAAACTGACAAAGCAAAACTTGGTGGGATATCTCACGTGACTGAACATTTCACCAAGGGAGTGTTCATTTTCCTTGGATGAGTATTTAAGTTTGGCATTGTTTGAAATCCATGGTCCCAATTTGGATAAGCTAATAGGTATTGTTGAATAGTTTACCTGTTACTCTGAACTTCTAATAGTTTTGTGTCATAATGTTACATTTGCCTTTGTTTCAGAAGAAGCAGTTCCAAAGAGCAGTTGTTTTTAAGTGTTTTCTCAAAAATTAAGAGAAATTAAGTTTCAAAAGTCACTGCATTTCTTGTGTTCAAATCCTAGCACTGATGGTCTTGTTCTGCCTGAGACTGTGCAGGCTGTTGGACAGGAGAGTCCATCTTAGGCTACATGCTGAGGCAGCAGGCTTGTTGTCTTGCAGTTGCCATGGTGGGGGAGGATTGAAAGGTTTTTCATCAGTCTTTACTTCAGTGACCTTTTCCAAGTTAGGAATAGCAGTTCAGTAGGATAAATCTAAACAGTCATTTCTCTCCAGTGGGTCCATACAGTTTTCTCTCAAGTTCTGTAAGCTGAAAAATAAATCGAAATTGAGAAGGTTATATTTCTGTTTTCAAAATGCCATTTCTGCAAGTCTTGTACTTACTGAGCTTCCCACACAATACATACTTGGGATTTATTAAACTGCTGTATGTGAAGACTCCCGTGCTTAATGTTTTGAGCAGCTTGCATAAGTGAGGTGGAATAAAAATTCCAAGTAATGTCAGCATGTAAAATGTTACTAAGTTAAAAGCATGGTGAGATTCACAGGGACTTGATTCTCGTCATCTGTTTAATGCAGTGACTACAGAGTTTTCACAAACTGTTTGCATATTCTTTCAGGCTGAAGGTTTTGGAACGGATGTTGGAAGATGTTAGCTGTGGATACTGGGATTGTAGAGGAGTGGTTATCGGAGTTCAAGGTAATATATTCTCAGATGTTTAGCCAGCAGGGTTTGAATCTCTGCTGGAACAGTAGGCAAGAATGCTTGATTGCTGTAGAAAATGGAGAAAAATATTGACTTCAATTTTGCTGAGATAATGTGGTATATACAGATGCCTACTTGAAAGGATTTTCTTCCTTGTTCTCTTTGGGATTGCATGCTTCCTGATACAGAGTAGTGAAAATGGTATCACAGATGAATGGTCTTGTTGGTTTGCGTATAGACCAGACTCGACTATAGGTTTTGCTCCTTGTCTACTTAGTGACGTTGGAATGTGTTTTCCCATCTGTATAATGATTTCATTTTAAAGGACTGCAGATAACAAGTACTATAAGAGCTATAAATAGTAATTTTAAATGTACAGCTTCCAAGGATTTGTTAAAAAGATTGCTTTTTTTCTCCTAAGTACTGGCAGAAAATCTTTTTAGTGTTGGAGAAAGCTGTTCACATCAACTGGAATCTGTGTTCTTTCAGAGTAATGCTATATCCTGTAATAATGTTCACTAGCTGTGTATAGTCAGGCTTGAGGAAAACTTCAAGTATGGATCTGCAGACAGCTAAATTGCACAGTACTGAAATTTCACAGTGAAATTTTACAAGGATATCACCTGTGAAACTCTTGGTTTAACAGGCTGAGTTTTTGAAACTCGTTGTAGAACTAAAACTTGAGAAGCAAATTCTAGTTTATACTAAATTCTGATAAATATTAATTTGTAATGGAAAATTGTTGTTGAAATAGTTGTTTTATTGTAATAAAAATTGTGTTTTTCTGGTAGTTATAATATTTTTATTTCAGACGCTGCCAGAAGCATCTATCTCCAGCTATGCTACAAACTTGAAAGACAAAACTGCTTTGATTTCATCTCTTTACAAAGTAATTCAGGAGCCACAGAGTGAAGTGAGTATTTTCAGTCTCACACAATGTCTGACGTAACACTAGCAGACTGAAATAAAACCGCGTGCTAGTTGTTCTGACTATGTGAACTACAGAACTATGTGAAGAGCCTTCATCACAATGTTTGTTCTTAGCAGTATTGCACCACCAGTGAAACAACAAGTTTTGTAACTTGGTGATTGTAGCTAAGCTCGTAGATCATACTTGTGTGCTTCAGGACTTTGGTATAGAATTGAGAAATTTAAGGAAGTTAAAAGATGCGTGAAACTGGCAGAATTCCTCCTGGTGTCACTTGAATGTGACTTGAATGTTTCTATCAGAAGCTTGTCTATTACAACCTCATAGAACAATGTTAGATAGGTTTGCAAATCACTTAAGTTATTGCTTAAATCCTAGGTTTTTGTTGTTGTTGTTGTTTTAAATACAAACAATATAGATATGCATTTATACAATGTATGTACCCTTGCTGAAATGATGGGGGGAGGAAATTAGAGGCTAAGGGTGCAGGTCTGTCCTTGTGCCAGGAATGTACCCTATGGCTTCACTTGTTTCCAAGTGTCTAGGTGACTTCAGAACATACTGAGCTGGTTTTAGTTTTCTTGTTAACTGTATTGTCTCACTTTCTACCATCCAGCAAACCTTTGTGTATTATTTGAAAATTCCACCAAATCCATAATTCCTCTTCTGAAAAGACCCAGCATAAGGATCCTTTCCAAAATTTGAGATGATGCCCATAGTGGTCAGAGGATAAAATGCTGTCAGTATGTACATTTTTAGAGAGAATGCGGACAGAGAAACTGCCAGGTTATCCAGCAAAGAAGAAATGTAATTTTACTTTGCTGCACAGAACAGCATTCTGAGTCATTCCAACTACTGAGTCAAACCTGTCTGGTCTTCAGAATGTGTATCAACATCTAAATTAATCTGATGAGTCTCCCTATTGATAACCAAACTGATACATTTGTGTGTTCTTAGTTTTCTTACTTCCCCTGGCTATCACTAGGTTTCTCAGGGAGCGTAGTAGCAGGGTGGTCAAGGCTCTGCAAATTCTGCTCCAAAAAGTTTGTGGTTTTTTTTTTTTTTATATTTCTGGGAGCAAGTTACCAAAGATTTCCCAGTTATTGAGACTCAGTTGAAATTAAAAGCCAGTGCTGGCACTGAGTGTTGGGCTGCCATGGGAGACCAGTCCTAAAATCTTTATTTGGACTGTTCTCTGAGTACATGTCATTTTGCAGACAGGGTTACTTGGAGCTTTTTGCCTTGTGGAAATACTTACAAACTAGCAGTTAACAGTTGAAATAAATCACTTGTGTTTTTTTGAGTTCTATTAGCTGCATCGTGTGATGACAGCTTGCTTTACAGCGTAGGGTATGTGCTGTCCTTTCTTATGTATGTAATGCAAAGGGGAAGGATTAGTATGTGAACACTACAAATACTGTGGAGATTAAAAACAGACAAACAGCCTTCTCTGTATAACTTTGAATATATGTACCAGTAATGTAATAACTATGTGTATCTTGAAATTGATTAATCTTGTTTTGGGGGGATGGATGTGTTCTTCTTGTAAGTATTTGAAAAGTAATCATGTGTATTCTCATCTGTGACTACGTTTTCCTGCTGGCTCACATTTGCTTTTCATATAGTGGTGGTGGTGTTGTTTGCTTTTCTATAAAAGTTAATCAGTTTGTGAGATAAATGAGCAACTTCTTTGTTATAGCAAAGAAATACCGAATTCATAGTAGCTTGTTAGTAAAGACTCCCTTAAGTTACTTTTGAGGTTTCTGGGTCACTGATAGGTGAAAAATGTAATTCATTACAAGGAGAGTATTTAGTAGATGGGGAGATGTAGATTAACTCAAGAGTCCAACAGTAAGAGAAAAAAAAAATCTGTTTTTTTTTCTTCATAAGTACTTTCTATCTAAAACACTATTGCTTTCATTGTCGATGGAGGCATTTGCATTAAGAAATAAAGTGGATTGTCTAAAACATAGAGATGCAGCTTAAAAGGAAGACGGATGAAATTCCTTGGACATTGTCCTCTTCCAGCATTAAAAATTGTTTCACTCAAGGTACCTTTTAGAACTGTTTTAGTGTAAAGCCGTATCTTGAAACTGCAACAATCTTTAGTGCATTTTGATATTAGGCTGTAGCATGTGGTGGCATTTTGAAGGAGAAAATCTGGTTTAGTACCGATTATGCATTTAAATGTGTTGGTATAAAGCTGTCTCAGCTGAGATAAGGATGTGAGCATGGATACCTGTCATAGCTATTTGTGTGCCTTTTAAAGTTAAAGCACACCATTATGAACTGATACTTCTTTAAAGGAAGCATGCAAATTATGTGAAATGTGTAAGCTGAAGATGGAAAGTACTTGTGCTGGTAAAGTTTTCTAGAAGCGTCTTTGATATTCTGCTCTTAAAACTGATGACTAGTTTACCTTGGCATGATTTTTCTGCCTTTACTGTAGATTTTTCAGAGATTATTTTTCCAATGAGAAGCTGTATCTGTCAGAAGTTAAAGGTCTTACTTTTTTTTTTTTTTTTTTTTAAAGGATCAGGTTGTCCCAAAATTACTTCTTAAAAAGAACCAAAATGTGCTAAGAATCCTTTGGGTTCAGAAGTAACTTTGGCACCTAAGAAATGTTGACTCAACTTTCTTTTTAGTCAGGAGGAAAAAAACTTATGAAAGCAAGCAGATCTTTTTTCCCTAATATGTTTTTTTTCTGGTGGAGTTGCTTCCTTTGCTACAGTAAAGGGAGGAAAATTTAGAAGAATGGGTTTGTTAACTTTTTGAAAGCTTACTCCATGGAAAAACTGAAGATGTGACCTAGACAAATAGCAGAAGAACTGAGTGTTGTAATTAGACTAAAATGGCAAATGTGATCTGCATGTTACTAGCAGTAAAGTACATCTCTATATTCCAGTTTTTAAGGATTTTCAGAAAGGTCTTAACATACTTTGCTTTCGGAACTGAAGTGCAATCACAATTCTGACATTTATGGTACCTTTTCTCAGTGCAATCTCTAAAATATTCTAAAATGGATGTCTGATTTGGATTCCATAATTGTTAGGTTGAAACTTTTGATGGTTTTGTGCAGGAATACTTTTCAATGAAAGTCTGTTACTAGCCTGAACATTCCTGATTTTGAAATTAATATAGAGTTTATTTCTGTGAGCCATGAAGATGAACTGTTGTTAAATCTCAGAGGTAAGAAACAAAGCAGCAAAACTAGTCCTTTAGGTATGTTACATTTCAATCTTGTCCTTCAGAGTTTTGCAATTGGAGAATGTTGTATTTTATCTAACTTTTTTTTAGTGTGCTAGGTGGAGCTGATAAAATTAATTCTAAATAGCTGGAATCTCTGATTTCATTTTGTAAAGTTTGCTAATATAAATACATTGACTTTCTATATTTTCAGGGGGTATTTTCTTAAATGACAGGGTCCTCCTTTTTGTTATTGCTTGCAGATAAATTATTTAGAACATTTAATTTAAAATCTCTTCCCCTTCCCTACCCCATTCTTTTTCTTCTGAAAAAAGAAATCCTTTTACAGTTGAGTCAATGTTTTGTTGTGTTTGCTGCCAAAAAAGTATTTTTTAGTATGTGCTTTTGAGTTTTTGATTGAGAGTTCAGTGTCCAGTTTGGCTGGACTTTGAAAGTGCCTACTGGTTTTGACAGTATTTTCCTCTTGTGTTAGGAAATTTCCTTTCTAGGTGACAAAATAAGAATATAACTTTCATACCTTGACACGTGATGGTTAACATGGTATGATGTTTTGTACCCTAGCAGAGGTAGGTGGTAGCACAAGAATGCGTGTTAAATCCTGGAACATAGAGCAAGCTGACTGCTAAATTGTTTTTAAGTCTTTTTTTAAATGTGTTCTAGCTCAATCTATTCCAGTTCAATGTGTTAATTCAGTTTATTCCAGCTTAACAAATTTTATTGTATAATTACTACTGAGGCTTCCCATTTCTGTCTCAAACCTATAAATACCTTGAAGTTTGTAGAAGATTTTAATGAGTGGAAAAGTGAACTAATTCCACTGGGTACTGAGTTACTGTAATGCTTTGAAATTGAGTGTTACACAGCTCTTCTCGCTTGGTGAGCGAAAGCTTCTAGCAATGTGCGTGTGCACTCTTGAAACTCTAGAAGAGCAGGACCTGTTGTTCAGGTCCTTTTCCTGTATATTAGAGATGTTATGGGCATGGTATGAGGTGTGATGATAACAAGTATCCTTTATTTATGCCTTTGAGGGAGGAGGAAGTGAGCCAGAAATGAGAGAAAGGAGCCCTTGGCATTCTTTCTACACATGGGAAGGAATGCTCTACTTTTATCATCTGGAAGTATGTTATGAGGAAAGAAAAGTGTGTAAGGTGACTTGGGCAGTTTCATCAGTCACTCCCTGAGAGCTGAACTGTTAACACTTGTCAGGTTACACTTTTGTCCAAAGGATTGATGCACACAAAATTGAATTTTCTTGTAATGTTTTATTCATTCACAATTGTCATTACTGTTTCAGCTTCTGGAACCAGTTTGTCATCAGCTGTTTGAGTTCTATCGCAGTGGTGAGAAACAATTGCTGCGATTCACGTTGCAGTTTCTGCCGGAATTGATGTGGTGCTACCTTGCTGTCTCAGCCAGCAGAGATCTGCAGAGCAGTGGGTGCATAGAGGCTCTTCTTCTGGGAGTTTACAACTTGGTTTGTATTCGCATGTAATTATTCAGGCCTAAAAATACTCTAATAATTTGATTTTGAAATTCAAATTAAGTGATTGAGTATCTCAATTTTGACTCTTCTTATTGGTGTCCTTGTTGGAAATCTGCAACCTTTATTCTTTTATAGGGGTGACTGTTTTCTCTCCTCTTTTTGCTATTCCTGAAAGGTGTTAATGTACTAATGGCTGAGGGAGCCACAGAAGTCTCTTTTTTTTTTTTTTTTTTTTTATGACTTAATTTTGTGTGTGATGATGAAAGTTACATTCTACTTGAGAGCTTTTAGAGAGGCTACTTCTGAAGTGGTTGCCCATATATTTTCTGCAATATTTCGACCCGAAAACACAAAAAATCACTTTCAACAAATTCTTAGTGCTCAACTACTGGACAGCTTGCTTAGCTTTGAGGAGACTACTTTGAAGAACAGAATTTTGAAGGAAACTTTATGAGCACCATATTTTAGTGATGCATTTAGTCTTTTTATGGTTGTTATAAAAAGCTTAGTGATGCGAAGTCTATTTGGGTTCTCTTCAATGTAGTTTGTATGTTCTGGGTATTTCAGGAGGGCCTTTTAGGAAGAGAAACAGTGATGAGATTCAAGTCTCCTCTTCCTATTCAGAAAATCTGGAGAAGGCAGTTCCCATCCTTCTAAAAATAATCTTAAGTGTCTTCACCAAGCAAATGAGAACACTTTTTTTCCCTAGGAATCTACTTAAAAAGATGCAAGCTCTTACATTCAACTGTTCTTTAGGCAGAGTACAGGCTTCATGTCCTTTCTGTGTGTTGAGTTGTATCTGGGAAGAAAAACATTCCTGGAGAGCATTTAGTATATCTTATGCCTTAAGTCAATTTACTTCTTTATGATGAAGTAATCTAAAATGATTGACGGATGTGATTATAATAACTTGTCTTTCTCCTAGAAGAGAGTATGTATACAGTTAAGCTTGAAACTGGTCCAGTGACGACATCTTTTAGTTGTGAACAGTTTCGTCCTCAATTAGTAACATAGCCATCCATCTCCTTGGGATCATAAGAATTTTACAGCAGGCTTCTGGAGGAAGTTGTAGATCAACTTCAGATTTTTAGTGCTTTTTTTTCCCCCTTCTGCTTTCAGACATAATGAATGCTTGTGCTAAAGTCATGCTATGTTACTGATGCTGACTTCTTACCCTCTGTTGATGTCATGTAAAATTTGTAATTTAAACGATCAGGACAATACTGTTCTTTAGTCTACAAGGTGGAAAACGTAGCAGGTGACCTACTTAGACACTTATTTTCTCTTCAGCCAGCTACTTTATTTTTTCAAAAGGAAAAAATGCAGCCTAATACAAATAGTAACCCATTTGTAAATAAGCATGGTGGTATCTTTGAACTTGAGGGAATTACTATGCTTAACAGAGTCCTGAAATATCTTACTGAAGGAAATTGAAAAAATAAGTATTGCTTAGAATAATTTTAAATTCACTATGTCAGGGGTATGGAATTCTTGTAGCTGAACCATGAGATTATGAACTGCTTTGTTCTATCTTCAGCTTGGAGACATACAGTGATAGTGCATGCAGTTAATATTTTTGACTTTCCTGGCTGTAGGTATGAGTTTTTTCTACTATGCTTCAGATCATGAAATGCACTCCTGAACCTTAATTTTACATCTGATTAGAATGAAGATTGACTTTTTTTAGATTTTGGTAGTTGGAACGTAAGCAATTTTTCCTCCCTTCTCCCATATATTGAGAAAACTGGTTTCCACGCTGATGCAGAAGCTGTATTGAAAACTCCAGTCTCGGTGGTTTAGGTGGAGAGTGAAGGAGCTGTATGCTCTTCAGACAGAACGGCTCTGTGTGCCTTGTGGTACTGCTCAGTATTCCTTTCCCACTTCATATTTTACTTTAAGACATGAGTTTTAATAATCACTGTGTGAAGTTAGTTTTTCAGCCTTCTTAAGGCATGGGTGTTAGGAGACACTGAAGCTCCTCTCTATTCTCTGCCTTTTGAATCTTTGAGAAGTAGATATGAAATCTGCTGCTGAAATGTAGGAGAAAAACAAAACAAACAGAAAACCCAACAACAACAAAACAAAAGAATTCTTTTGTGTGTGGCGTTGGTTATTGGTCAGGTCTGCATTGGAACTTCTGAAGTTTGAGGTGCTTCACTGCTCTTCTGTGATACATAGGCACATTGGGGTTTTTTGCCTTACCCATTAGTCTTCCACTAACTTACAGGAATGAGAAGTCTGCCACTGTATTGCAATGGTGGGATCCTGCAGGGAAGTAGCTTCTCAAAGCTTTGCATCTGTGCTGCTTTGAACTCTCTAAGTATGGAATTAGTGGACTGGAGCTTCCAAAAATACTGTGATGTTTGCTACTGTCAAATCGTATCAGGCTGCAGTCTTTCCAGAGCTATAATATTTCCAAAACAAATTACTTGTAGAGTTATTACTTGATGAGTAAATAGTTTTCAGAACATAATTATTGACCATTGAACTTCACAATTAACAAATAGTGTATAATTAAAAAAAAAAAATACTGTTTAAACATCTTGAGATTTCCAGTTAGTCTTTTTAAGATGGACTATGTATGCGAATTCTTATACCCTTTGCTAAGTCATCTGAATAGTTTTCAGAAACAAACCAAACAGAGAGATAATTTCTAGTTTGTAGCTTTGATTGTTATAGTTTCCTTCTCTGTTCCTATAATAATTTGTTGGCTCTCTCTCCATTCACACCCACCCAGCATTTAACATTTTTAAATGCCTGGTTTCTGTAGTACAGTGTAACCACTGGTGTCTTCTGTTTGTTTGTTTTTTTTCAGGAGATAGTTGACAAAGAGGGACATAGCAAAGTGCTGAGTTTCACAATTCCATCTTTGTCTAAACCTTCAGTCTATCATGAAGTAAGTGTCATCAACAACATAAAACTTGTTACTGACTGAGAAAGGCAGTATGCACTGGGGGCCTGTTTGTTGAGAGTAAAAGTAAAAATAAGTTTTAAAGTTTTGCGTGATGACATAGGAACATATTAATCTTTTGATTACTACTCACTGGTTTCTGAGGCCTCTTAAAGACTGAATAGTCATAACTCCATAATATTCATGCACAAAGTATGTTTTTTTCTCTGTTCTGAAGGCAGGTATCTTATTGGGTGTAAAAGAACTCAAATCTAAGACAGCTAGCCAGTCAGATAACCTTGAGCCTGTTGAAAATTTGTGTACAAATATGATGCTAATCAATGTCTAGTTTTACCTGCCTTGTAGCAAGACTCGAGGCAGGCATGTTTTGAATGACCCTTTTTCCTTTAGCCTTCCAGCATCGGCTCCATGGCTCTCACCGAAGGAGCTTTATCACAGCATGGTTTGTCCAGGGTTGTATACAGTGGACCTCATCCTCAGAGGGAGATGTTAACAGCACAGAACAGGTGAAACTGTATAATAGGATTCTGCTTGAGAATCACTAATGAGTCTTAACTTCTTATAGTTTTTAATTTAGTTATAGACTGAAGGTGGATAGATGTATGCTGTGTTTTGTGGTGCTTAGTTGTTTGTTTTTTTTTTAAATTTAATGTGTAAATGTAGAATAATGTAAAGTGTATATTGCTATATGAAGAGGAAAAACTTACAGAACCAAACTACTCAGTTGTCAGTTTTATTGAAATTAAATACCTGATCTATTCAAATAACTCTTGCTGTTTTCTGTGTAAACTTGTTTTCTTTTAAAAAATGAAACTGGTAATATAACTCTAATGTTTCTTGTAAATCCCAGGTTTGAAGTGCTGACTTTCCTTCTGCTCTGTTACAATGCTGCCTTAAGCTACATGCCTGCAGTTTCTCTTCAGTCGTTGTGTCAAATTTGTTCAAGGTAATTTCTGTAGGTTGATTACACTTAGTGGCATTTTCAACTTGAAATGCAATTGGTTTGAACTTTTTTTTAAAAAGAAAAGCTTTAGGTTCCCAAAAGGTATGTTGAGAAGTATTTGATAAGCGAAACATGAGTGTTTACAGCTGCATTATTTGATTTTAAACTATCTCTTACATAACTTTGGGCTGAGGTCTCAAAATGAAAAAGCAATGACCTAGCTAATATGCAGTGCTGCCAAGTGGAGAAGTCAAATCAAGGGAACTTGGTTTTTAATCAAAGTAGTTGTAGACGTGTTAACTAAATAAAATCAGAAATGTCTTCTAACATCTTGGGTAAATTTTGCTATACAAGCTTTCTAAATATATTTGGATGCTGTGCAAGTTGAAGCTTTCTTGATGTTATAGTAGATCCTGAAACTAGAAATACATCCATTCTTACAGATACTTTGGATATTTAGAACATCTGTTACTTTAAAAAAAAAAAAAAAAAACAAACCAAAAACAAACCCCCAAGTCCACCTAAGCTTTAAATACTGTCTATTTTTGTTCCATTTCTTTTTTCAAAGAGGAAGACTGGTAGTAAGCATGTCTATCTTCAGATTTTTTGAAAGTGGACTCTGGTTTAAGGTGAAAAAATTAGAATGCTTAGAATCTTGTTAACCCAGGAAAGCCAAGAGAGACCTAGAAGTCAACTGCAGCAACTTTTTACCAGTCTTAGTTCCCAGGTTCCTCACACAAACAAAACATGGTAATGGCTGCCTGTAAGATTCTCTTCAGAGGTGGTAAGAGAGCACTGGAGCACTTGTCAATACTTAAAAGAGTCTTTACAAGATCTTTGTTAGATGTGCTGGTCTGAGATTTAAGCTAGAAATTATTTAGGGAAGGATTTGGGACAGGAGACTGATGTTGCTTATTCAGCTTGATTATTTTTGATTTTATTTGGTTTTTTTTTTTTTTAAGTCTCCCAAAAATAGCAAGCAAATTGGCAGTAAATGTAAGCAAATCTTTCTATTTCAAAATGTTGAAAGTTTGGATACTGAACTATTTGATACTATACAATTTTTATCTTAATTCTTCATTTCCTGCTGGTTTTGGCATGCCATGTTTCTCTGCTTACTGAAAATCTTACCTTGACAGCACTTTAGGGATTCAATGGAATGTGTGTCAGAAGACCAGAATATCTTTCAGTATCGTGTTTTGATGTGGTGCTGACAAAATTCTCAGAAGAATCTGTAGAATAGCTCCTATAATTTGTTTGAGCAGTGTTGAATTCAGGTTTCATTTGGAAGATCTATATGAAAGCAATTTACAATGAATGTGCTTTCTTCTAGTAAGTCTAATTCAGTCTTTATGACTTTTCCAAAGAAACAAAAGCTTCTAGTACTTCTTACTTGCAAACACAAACTGTAAATGTGACATTTGCAGCACAAAATACTTTGTACTGATCTCAAATGTTGTAAAACCAGGTGTTTTGCATTTGGGCATCTTCAGTTACTATGTTGCTTTTCATAAGAATGTTGTCTTACTCTGATGTAAAGCAAAGCCATTCTGTTGATGCTATTCTAGCCTTTTTAGAGAAAGTAACTCATAAAAGTAGGGCTTTTTAAAACTAACCAATATTGGCATTAATAGTGGCTGTATTAAGGTCTTTTCTTTATAATGGTCACTGTTAACTGATCATATTCATGCTCTGAGTTCACTATTTCCCCTTAAAGTACTTACTGTATACAGCAGCATCTAGGAAATGCATAAATACACACATTGGCTTAAAAATGACCTGGTTAGATTTTTATGTCAACTAGCATTTTTGTTTAAACTGTACTTACTACTGCTTCCACCCCTCAGGCTTTACACAACACTGAAATGCATTTTATTTTACTGGATTATAAATGTTATCTTTGAACCAAACCATTGGTAGAAATTATGGGCTACCTGAAACTAAAGTGTTGTCCAAGTTGCATAATAATAGCCTCTTCTGGGGGGATAAAGAGGAGAAAAATGAGATGGAATTTGTGTGGAGGAACATTCAGTCTAGTTAATTTCAGTAACTGGCTTATGTGGTTTAGGACTAGGTGAGAGTCAGAAAACAGCTTTTGTGCTGTGACTTTTACCATGTATAGACAAAATGAAATATGAGAGGATGAATTTATTTGGTTCCAACATCTTAAGTGTATTTAACAAAAGGGTTGATTTTATTCACTTAACTGGAAGCTAGATTTCTTTTAGCCAGCTGTGCATATAGTTTGCAGGTGAACTCTGTTTTAACATAAAATTTATTTTCATTCTGGTTTCTAAAAATTATGAGATTTAAACCATTTGAATAGTGAGACACAAATCACAGCTCTACCTGAAGTAAAGTATTCCTAACAACAATAAAATTGAAGTTTAAAATCTGAATGAATAAGCAATAAGTACTTGAAGACTCTGTGCTTCTGGCCAACAACAATATCAAATTTAGGGGAAAACTCACAGTTATAAATTAACATGTTTGTCTACTTTTGAAAAATCAAAACTAAGCAAAATAAATTCTTTTCTTTGGAAACACAATTTTGAATTGTTGAATTCAGTCATTTAAATCTTGGTTTAGGCCAGTCTGAGAAGTTTGTATTTAGAGTTGTAATTTGCAATGAGAATTATGACTAAATACTGATGCTCAGAGCCTCCATTGACCAACTCTATAAGCAGCACAAGCCTTCGGTTTACGGCATTATCTTCAATACCAGATGACTGCATAGGAGTGGGTATTCTTTACAGATATCTTAACCTCATGAAGTTCAACAAGGCCAGGTGCAAGGTCCTGCACCTGTGTTGTGGCAATCCCCAATACCAGTACAGACTGAAGGACAAATGGATTGAGAGCAGCCCTGTGGAGAAGACCTTGGGATACAGTGCAATATGCACTTGCAGTCCAGAAAGCCAATCGTATCCCAGACTGCATAAAAAGAAATGTGGCCAGTAGGTTGAGGAAGGTGATTCTCCCTCTCTTCTCAGCTCTCATGAGACCTCACCTGCATCCAGTTCTAGAGTGCCCAAGAAAAGAAAGACATGGACCTGTTTTGTGGAATTTTAGGTCCAGGGGATTGCCACAAAAATGATCAAAGGACTGGAACACTGCTCCTGTGAAGAAAGGCGCAACATTTGGGTTGATCTGACTGCAGAAGGCTCCAGGAAGATCTTATTATAGCCCTTCAGTGTATATATAAGGGAGGCTTGTAAGAAAGGTGAGAGAGGTTTTTTACCAAGGACTGTAGTCTTTGGTAAAGGCACAATGGTTTTAAACTGAAAGAGGGACAATTTAGATTGGACATAAAGATTTTTTTACAGTGAGAGTGGTGAAGCACTGGAACAGGTTGTCCAGAGAAGTTGTGGATGCACAAGTGTTCAAGGCCAAACTGGATGGGGCTTTGAACAACCTGGTCTAGTGGAAGGTGTCCCTGCCCCCAGTAGTGGGGTGGAAATTGATCTTTGAAAGTCGCTTCTTACCAAGATAATTCTATGGTTCTTCCTTTATAAACATCTCATAGTATTGTTGCTTCCTTGCATGTTGTCACTAGGGTGGCTTCCTGTCTTTCCTGATGAAGTGTTTAAAATCTTTTGTTGTTGTTGTTGTTTTTCTTTGAAGATATGGTGATATCAGCATAAAGAGTCAAATTTAGATCATAGTAGGTGCAAAGAACATGCTGGGAAAGTTGCTGAGCTGTAGAGATCTTAGGGGTGCTGTCTGCTTTTTTTATTCATTGTTTTAGGGTTGGTGTTTTTTTAAGTAGCTGGAGGGGAAGATGAGTTGCCAGACAGAGGAGGAGAGGAAAAAAGTGCAGTAGATTAGTGGCAAAGTTAGTATTAATAAAAAAGGCTCCTAAAATCTCCATTACAGATGTAACTTAAAAGGTACTACAATACAACTTAATCTTTTATTCTGGAAAAAATAGATTTAAGAGGAGTTTTACAAGCTCTCTCGTGTTGAAGCTGAAGAATTGAAGCTTTCTGAGACTAAACATTCTAATCTGTGCTTTGGAGAAGGAAATAATTAGATTAATGTCATTAGAAGTCATTCCAGAAGTCTAGTAATAGCCAATGAATTGCATATTGTCCTGGTTCTGTGTAAAAAGG